AGGGGTATTTATATCGATTACTATCCAATAACCGATTAACATCGATAGTAATCCCCTTGCAAATTTTGGTGATGTAGTTAGGTTAACGTTAGGGATAAATAGAATAGGTCTAATTTAAAATTTGGGTTTAGTTAAAAGTAGAGGAGAATTTAGAGAATCAGATAGTTTATAATTAGTAATAGGATTGGATTTAAAGTTAGATAAAATTAATGAAATTAGAATTGGAATTCGGGTATTTAGAATTAGATAATTTGAAATCAGGTTATTGAGGTTTCGAATTTAGAGAAGAAATTAAATAGGTTGAGTTAAGGTTAAAAATAGATAAAATACAGTAGGAATGGGGTTTTGAGTTAAGAATGGATTTAATTTGAGATTAGGTAAAGGTTAAAAATAGAGAGAAAATTTGGGCTCAAATTTAGAAAAGAGATTAAAGGGAATGTGTCAAAGTTACAAATGAATAGAATGAGTTAGAAAAAGCAAATTAGATTAAAGAGGAGGTTTTAGTTTAGAATTAGAAGACCAGGTAGTTTGTAATAGGAATTTTAAAATTGGGTTTATAATATCATGTATATGTATTGAATTTAATAATTAAACAAATAAAATAAATAAATGAGTTGTTTTTGCTATAGCGATGTATAAATTGTTGTATATGCATATATGCTAAGAACTAAAAGTTTTGGTTATGTGATGTGGTACTTCATTTTGAAGATTTAGGCAGGTGCCGGATTTAAGTATTTTTGAACTACATTTTTTTCACAGTTAAGAAAACTATAGATATTTCTTACTAAAGAGTACATAGTAGAACTTTCCTAGCTCTAGCATTCGAAGAGTACGTGATAGAATCTTTCTAGCTTTAATAGTATCATATAGACTCCCAAGACATAAAATTTTCTGAGTTTTCTAAGTTTCTTTTAAGTTTGAGTTTCACAGGGTTGGGATTATTTACACCTACACTTTGGCTTGTAGATAATCCACACTTAATACTCTTGGTTAAGGTTTGCAGTAAGCTGCGAGCTATGGGTCCTTACATTTACATATTTGGCTCGTGGAGTACCTGTCCAAGGGATCTAACTTTGAGGTTGCAGTAAGCTGCGAGCTCTGGTTGCTATAAAAGCAAAGGCTTCAAGTGGCCCTTTTGTACAAATCTCTTTCAACTTGACAGGACTTTTCAGTTGCTATGAAAGCAGAGGCTTTAAGTGTACTCTTTTGTACAAGTCTTTTTTAACTTGACAGGACTTCCAAGTGTACTATTACTCTCTTAGTAATAGGTGTTTACAAATAAATAAAGTAATCTTTAGTAATGGGAAAGGATATTCAAGTTAATGAGTTCAATATTTTTAAGCTTTTTGGGAGATTTTTCATAATTTTAGAGGAGACTTTTTAGATTTTTGGTGGAGACTTTTAGAAATTCTGGGGAGGCTTTTAGAATTTCGAGTGAGACTTTTTAGCTTTCTGCCAGAAGGCACCAAAATGTTACAAGTGGGATAGCCTTCTTAATTTACTACCTGCAACATAGCACATAGCAACAGGGATCTCTAAAACAACAGGGCAAGATATGAAATGGTGTGGAAGTGAAATGTTTCTTCATTAGAGCAGTTTGGTATATTCATTAAAAGCATAGAGACATGGTTTACTTTAGGGCAAAGATATGTTTATTTATTTATAATACAATGCCTAGATACAAAGCTATCTATAGGTATCTATTCTTATATAGAATCCTAATATTTTAGAACATTGCAGGAAACAAATTTTAAAGTTAAAGAAAAGGTAAAAGCTAGGGTTTATATAGCTTTTACAACATATATTAAAAGAATATAAAACAATAAGAAACTACATCAGCTTCAAAAAGTATGGAAAAGGTGTGACAAATAAGCTTAATTGTCACGGGGTATGATATACAGAAGTATGCAAGTGTATGTAAGGAGTATGCAAATATATGTAAGGAGTATGCAAGGGGTATGCAGGGGTATACAAGGGGTATATAGAAGGTATACAGGGGTATGCAAGGTATGCAGAAGTATGTAGAAGTACTTAAACCTAAACCTAAACCTAAATCTAAATCTAACCTAAACCTAAACTTAAACTTTAATCTAGCTTAACTTAATTTAAACTTAATTTAACTAATCTAATACAGTATAAACTTTTATAGCAATTTAATTTAATATATATAAATCTAATTTTAAAAAAAAATAAATAAACTTTGCATTATTGCTGTTTTCGAAATAGTTGAAAATAGAGGTGTGGCGACTTAGTGTAGTGGTCTAGTTATCACTAGAGATGGGCAAAATAGTATTTTTGTTTACTATGCATGCGTATAATATGCTGCATGCATGCATATTATATGCACTATAGTCAAAATTTATTATTAGTGTATAATATCAAAAATATATAAAATTTTTAATATAATTATATATAAAAAATAACATAAACTTATGGAATCTTGTAATATTATATGAAGTTTATATTAAAATGTTTTAAAACATATTGGCTTTTCAAAACTATAAGATGTGATATATAATTTAAGTTTTTCTTCAATCCAGTTGTGGCAAATCCAATTTTGATAACTAGCTTTTAAAATTGCCGTCAAAGGAAAACCTGTTATTGGACTTTCAATTATATTTTGTGTATAGTTAGCCGTCTATAGAAAATCTATCATAATAATAGATTTGCCATAGGTGGCTAACTGTATGCAAAATATAATTGAAAGTCTAATGGCAGGTTTTTCTTTGACGACACTTATATGTGCTAAGTTAATTCATTTAGTTTGAATTAAAAATTTTATTTCAAATTAAGCATATTTGAAATAACTTTTAGGACAGTGCAAAACTTTCATATCATATTGCTTTTAAAAATAATTTAATGTGAATAAAAAATTGAGATAGCCTAAATGTAAAAAGTGAATGAATCAATGTGATTCAGTATAATTAATATACTAGTAAAATCATAATTCGATGATTATAAAATGGTGAACTCTGAATTAATCATATAGTAAATATAAATTAAAGATTTATATTACACGTTCAATTATCTGTTATGTCAATACAATTTGTAAATATATTAAAATTCATTAATTTATATTATAAAAATTTAATTTCAATAAAGCTAATAAGCGTAGTAAATCTTTATTGCATATTTTTTAAAACAATTTCAATGATAAATGATTTATGATTATTATTGAAGTCATTGTAAACATCAAATTGTTCGGGTGAACCTTAGTTAAAATCACGGATCTATTATATTATTATTTTTTTCAAGTTGATCATATGAAGGTTGTTAAATGATCCTTGAAGTCAAGGCAGCTGTACTACCACAAGTTGTGACAAAACCTGCATAAATGTTTGTGACTATATTTTTTAACTTTAACTCAAATGTTCCTAATTCAGCAGATATTGATAATAAATGTCTTACGTTCATCTTCTAAACTTAATTCTATTAATGTTTTTCTATTTAAAAGTAAATGAATACTAATTAGTAAATAATTGTCATTTAACAAGTTTTGATAACAAATGCCTTATGTTTATTTTTAGCTTTAATTTTAATATTTACTATTTTAATTAATTAATAAAGGCCTTATTTTTTTAACTCTAATCCTAATTAACAAACAATTATACTTACAATTATAAACTCCAATTTATCACTCGTTATCTGTATCACTTTCAGTTAATAACTCAATTTCTAATTCAGATATTTCTATATTCTCATCACTCGTTATCTATATCACTTTCAGTTAATAACTCAATTTCTGATTCAGATATTTCTATATTCTCATCTTCGCCTTCCGTCAATTTATTTTCACCTTTCGCCAATTCATTATCATTTTCATTGCTATCATCACTATTATAAGGGTCTAATAATTCAAAATTATTATATTCATTAGGTCTACTATTAGAATGTACTGTTATCTTCATTATATCAAATGATTCCAATCTTGGACATGTAAATTTGTAGTTGCTGTATATATATACCAACTTTAATACTCTCTGTGGTGTTAATCTATTTCGTTTTTTATCATGAATATAGAAAAAATTTGACCAATTTCGCTCAAAAGCTGCTGATGATGATGGAATCATGAGAATTCTAGATGCAACTTTGCATAGTTCAGGCGCTAATTCCTCAAATTTTCCTTTCCACCAAGCAACTGGTTCTATTTCTTCAACTGCATTCCAAGCTAAGTTTAAATTAAATACACCAGTTCGTGTTTTATATTGAAGCAACTGCCGCCAAATAATATCTGCTTTATTTGGATAATACTGTTGAATAAATCTTGAAATAGTTGACATGTCTAGGAGTTGTATTATAAAGGTTATTATTTTATTTAATCTTATGTAAGCTAGATTTCATATCATATTACGCAATATCTAACATAAATATTATATCATATGTACATACTACATATAAAATCTAATTTACTAAAATTACACAAAAATTACATAATAAAAAAAGCTAATATTTATTATTTATTGATTAATAATAAGCCAATTTGCATCTCTATCTAAACATATCATTAGCTGGAAGTTTTTTTTTATAATATCATGGATCTAACAAATATGCTACTAACATTACGGGTTGGTATATTTTCTTCCATTTATTTTTGAATAAATTTTTGATTTCAAAACCAACTGCAGGAAAAATATAATCTAAATAATATAATAAATTATTAATGATAGTAATTATAAATATGCATATATTATTATTTATTTACTGTCAGATTCTAGTTGTTCGTGGTACCACTGATAAAACAATACCAACCTTGGCGTATCTGACTCAAAAATACCAATACCTACAATTAACTTATCTAATATCGTAAGTAAGGTTTTAGTGTTATTTCAAAAATTTTCACAGTTTATAATATTACTAATAGACTCAGGTATTGTAGTGTGATTATCATAAGCTAATTTGGTTATAGTTAACTTGAGTGCAAGTTGATTTTGAACAAGAGAATTAAGACACGTTGCTGAAGATCCCCACTGTGTTTTAACTGAATACTTAAAAGATATTCATTGATTATACGTAGCTAACTGGTGTCATTTTAATATAGCTATTGGAATTTGATTTTTTCGAAAATATACAACTATTTTTTTTGCATTTTTTAACAAATTTGCACACCACCTTAATTTCATTATATCGCCAACTAAAAGATTCAAACTATGCGCAATACAACTTAAGAATAAAATTTTATTTATTTCTAATAAACGCCAGGCTTTTTTCATTACAGAGGCGTTGTCAGTGATAATCGCTGAAATTTTTGATACACCCACTTCTAACATTATGTTTTCTAAATTATAAGCAATTGTTTCACCCTTTTGACGCACTTCATTAGTTGGATAAGCCGCATAAAAAACTGGTTTTGGTGTCACCAAAATATAATTAGTCCAATGTTCTTGAACTAGATTAGACTATCCATCTGATATAAGGCACAAGTTTTGGCTATTATTAATCAACATTTTAACGTCTTTTTTAGTTTCATTGTAAACCTTATCTAATAAATTTGTTGAAATTTTTTTTCGACTAGATAACCTAAATGCTAATCATGCTTGTTTCCACAACTTTTTAACTGGTTCCATTTTGGGTAAAGACAAGAACAAGCCACATTTAAATATTGACCTTGCAAATTCTAACTCAAGTGACTTTTGTTCTATTTTAGAAATACGATCAGGTATAATAATTCGTAATTTGATTTCCATAACCTCTTGTATTTTTAGATATTCTTCGAGACGTAAATAAATTTGACACAACTAAAGTAGAAGTTGATACAACTTCTGCTAATAAAGAAGCTGATGCAACTAGAGTAGAGGCATCAAATATGCCACTATCATGTTCCTCTTCTTTATACAAATTACCAAAATACCTTTTTTTTTGTTCTGACGAAACACAACCACAGTTTCGAAAATGTGTATGTGCAGCTCTTAGAGCATCATTAATATGATGTTCACAATATTTATACTCTCTTCTTTTTTGCTTGTATCCATTTATGTGACCTAATTGAATAAAATGAATTCAAATTGGATCGGGTATTTTTTTTAAAAAAAAAACTACTATGTATGCATTACTTATTAAGACTTTATTTAAAAAAAATTTAATTGGCCACTATCATAGTAACCCGGGCTTTATACACAGACAATTTATTAGAACCAGATCTACTAAAATCTATTAAACTAAGAAATTGAAGTTAAAGCAACATATATTTTCACATGACAAATATTTACACAATGTAGCAGCGTGAGAAACTACTACTAGCTTTACTTATTTACGAGTAATACAAATTTAAAAAAGAGGTAAGCAAGTTGATAACTAACTAATCAAGTTGTTAAATTTTAATGACCATGAATTATGTTCTACTTTAAGGGTTTGCATTACGTGAGCAAACAAATTAAGTTTTTTTAAGAGTTTGTATTACGTGAGCAAATAAATAGTTTTTTTTAAAGCTTTTATTATTTAACAAATAAATAAAGTAGTACTTGAATCTGGATTGCAAATCTGGATATATACGAATTAGTGATACAGTAGAATTGCCCTAATAATGTTATGGCTTAAGCTGTATTACCATTACTGCTACCAATTTGAATGATTTTGATAAATCTGGTTTTGTTTTATAAATTATACAGTATATTTATTTTACAGGTTTAGGGCATTATACGCTAATTAGCATCAGCCAATTAAAAGAATTTCACACATTACCGTGTCAAAAACAATGATCTTTTTTTATAACTTATTGCATATATATGTGACTTAAATGAACTAAAGAGTTGTTAAAGTTTGATATTAGATAGTTGGATAAAGGTAGAGTTTATTAAGGTAGAGTTTATTAATTAACATGAGCTTAATTCAGATCAAATGATAAGCCTTTTTAATAATCAATTCAATGGGTTGATTATTAAATAATTAAATATAGTTAAGCCAATAATGCTTAAAATTTTGGTTGAGTATTGTCAAGTAACAAACAGTAAGCAGAATTCATATTCATTATTAAAACTTATACCAGAAAAAACTAATATCAAGAATGAAGTGCAATGAAAAACATAGTTACTCAATGCGCATCTGATTAGACAATCTATTCTTATGATTTTACCTTGGGATTTCTACTTATAACATCGAAGTATTTGACATACGCATATGCTTAAATAATGTAATAAAAAAAATGCAATCGAAATATAGTGTAATCAAAGAAAATATAAAAAATATTTAAGCTTATTAAATTATGATTATCAATTTATGTATTATATTATCACACTAGCGTAGACTATCTACTTTTTTACACTACTTATTTTGTTTCACTTGATTTTGAGATTCACATAAAAAATAAATCTTGCTGTCATTCTATCAATAACATAACAATAAAGTTAATATTAGAAATGAGTGGATGAAGTGTTGGCTATTTAGGTTAGGAGAAAGGCAACTTATTATAGGTAAATATCAAAATTTCAGGATCTTATTGGAAAAGTTATCAGATTATTTCAGGCTTTACATAATCTTTTTGTTTGGGACGAGTCCTAAACCCAATTTTATATGTAAAAAATTTTGGATTTCTAGCTGTAATAATCTATATGTCAGAAGTGTTTGACATTGCGACAAATTAGAGGATTTTGAGAAACCTAGTAAATACTATACCAAATCCCAAGTTGTTAAGTTTGGGTCGCAGCCCTAATCCTTACATATGTCGTATATATTTATATATATAGTTATTTTTGTATAGACATTTTGGTATATGGATCGTTAAACTATGCGCATGCATAGTGTATGCATGTATGCAGTCATGCGCATGATGCCCATCTCTACTCGTGACACTATGTACCTAAAAAACCTAATAAAAAAAATTTCTTTTCGAACAACTGTTAAAGTTTTCAACTTTAGTTACATTGACTCCTCCTTTAATAATTTTAACAATTTAAATTGTTTTACTATCTGTTAAATATGAAAAATTATATACCCAAACCTTTCAGTTTTAGATCTACTTTACTGAGAAGATTTTAAATTTAAATAATTGAAAATGGAATAATAGTATTCAGTATAGTTTGGTTTAATGTTAAAAGATTGTTGTATTTTATTACAATCATATTAAATATTGATTATTTGTTTTAAAAGCTTTGAACATTAAATAGTAGCTATCTTTTTAAACTGGTTAAAAATCTGTTGAGAATTAATTGTTTATTATAATTGAAATGTAAATGTAATGCTTGAGTGACCTTTATCAATGACAAGTTTTTGAAAAAAAAAATGAGTTGCATCTTGCTGATTTATTCATCAAAATGGTAACTCACTTGGTTAATTTATTCAATTTCTGACTAAAAATTTGCTTTCGATCCATTGAGTGAGATGCTTGAGAACACCTATTGTATGATTTATATTAACAAAAATTCCCATGACTGATCGACTGGAAAAGCTCAATTATTGTCTTTTTTAAGACTTTTATTAGATAATTTGCTTATTAAAAGAAAATATGTATAAGTTCATTATTAGCAAAGTAGTAATAAGTTATACTCTAATCAGTCGAGTAAACAATACCATTAATATGCCTCTTAATACTTAGTTGACATCCTAACGATATTATTTAGTAAACTATAGCAACTTTGTTAAATAAAATTGAACTATATAATTTAATCGGCAATATGTCATAATTAAATATTTTCTTAAATTTTACTATAAGTGTGAATGCATAGCACTTTTATCTAAAACTTTTTTTTTTCTTCAGCTTCTAACAAAAGTTGTAGAGCTCATAAAAATATATTTAATACTAAAAGGATATTAAAATTGGTTTGGTAATTCTTGAGAAATCTTTAAAAAACTTCTTCTTCATATATAAAATTTCTTTAAAAAAAATTGATTTTTTTTAAAGAAATTTTATATGTAAAAAAGAAGTTTTTTAAAGATTTC